GGTACATGCTGATAACCATAAGGGAAACAAGAAAGCACGAAGTTCCTGCGCTTTGTAATTCACATCTTCAGGGCGTGATTACAGACTAAGGAAAAATACATAACAAGGCATATATACTATTTTCCAAAGTAGATTATCATAAAACGGAAATTTGTATCGAAAATGGGAAATATTTACTTTCCGGGAAAGTTGGTTATCTATTTTCCGAAAAGTAGATAACTTTTCAAAGTAAGATTTTCGACTTTTGTGAAGTAGATTAACGACTTTTGGGAGATATTAACATATTTTCCAAAGTAGATTATCATAGAAAACGGAAATTTGTATCACAGAAAATGTGAAATATTTATACTTTATGGGAAAGTTGGTTATCTACTTATCATAGAAAACGGAAATTTGTATCATAGAAAATGGAAAATATCTACTTTCCGGGAAAGTTATTTACTCCCGAAAAGTAGATTATCTACTTTTCGGGAAAGTAGATTTCGACTTTGTGAAGTAGATTAACGACTTTTGGGAGATATTAACATATTTTCCAAAGTAGATTATCATAGAAAACCGGAAATTGTATCACAGAAAAAGTAGAATATTAATACTTTCTGGGAAAGTTGGTTATCTACTTATCATAGAAAACGGAAATTTGTATCACAGAAAAAGTGAAATATTTATACTTTCTGGGAAAGTTGGTTATCTACTTATCATAGAAAACGGGAAATTTGTATCATAGAAAATGGGAAATATCTACTTCCGGGAAAGTTGGTTATCTACTTTCCCGAAAAGTAGATTATCTACCTTTTCGGGAAAGTAGATTTTCGACTTTTTGTGGAAGAAGATTAACGACTTTTTGGGAGATATTAACATATTTTCCAAAGTAGATTATCATAGAAACGGGAAATTTGTATCAAGAAATGAAATATTTATACTTTCTGGGAAAGTTGGTTATCTACTTATCATAGAAAACGAAATTTGTATCATAGAAAATGGGAAATATCTACTTTCCGGGAAGTTGGTTATCTACTTTCGAAAGTAGATTATCTACTCGGGAAAGTAGATTACTTTTGTGAAGTAGATTAACGACTTTTGGGAGATATTGACATATTTTCCAAAGTAGATTATCATAGAAACGGGAAATTTGTATCACAGAAATGAAATATTTATACTTTATGGAAAGTTGGTTATCACTTATAGAAAAAATGTATCATAGAAATGTGAAATATTTATACTTTCTGGGAAAGTTGGTTATCTACTTATCATAGAAAACGGGAAATTTGTATCATAGAAAATGGGAAATATCTACTTCCGGGAAAGTTGGTTATCTACTTCCCGAAAAGTAGATTATCTACTTTCGGAAAGTATTGACTTTTGTGGAGTAGATTAACGACTTTTGGGAGATATTAATATCCAAAGTAGATTATCATAGAAAACGGAAATTTGTATCACAGAAAATGTGAAATATTAATACTTTCTGGGAAAGTTGGTTATCTACTTATCATAGAAAACGGAAATTTGTATCATAGAAATGTGAAATATTATTTTCTGGGAAAGTTGTTATCTACTTATCATAGAAAACGGAAATTTGTATCATAGAAAATGGGAAATATCTACTTTCCGAAAGTTGGTTATTCACTTTCCCGAAAGTAGATTATCTACTTTCGAAAGTAGATTTTCGACTTTTGTGGAAGTAGATTAACGAATTTTTGGGAAGATACATATTTTCCAAAGTAGATTAGCAAGAAAAACGGAAATTTGTATCACAGAAAATGTGAAATATTTATACTTTCTGGGAAAGTTGGTTATTTACTTATCATAGAAAACGGAAATTTGTATCATAGAAAATGAAAATATCTACTTTCCGAAAGGGTTATCTACTTTCCCGGAAAGTAGATTATCTACTTTTCGGAAAAGTAGATTTTCGACTTTTTGTGAAGTAGATTAACGATGGGAGATATTAACATATTTCCAAAGTAGATTATCATAGAAACCGGAAATTTGTATCACAGAAAATGTGAAATATTAATACTTTCTGGGAAAGTTGAATTTCTAAAATATCAGAAAACGGAAAGATAACTAACTTTCCTGAAAAGATATTTCATTTTCATGATAAGTAGATAAACCAACTCTTCCCAGAAAGTAATAATATTTCATATTTTCTATGATACAAATTTCCCGTTTTCAGATAAGTAGATAACCAACTTTCCACAAAGTATTAATATTTCATTTTGTGATACAAATTTCAAGTTTTAGGAAGCTGGTTATCTACTTATCATAAGCAAGGAGAATTTGTATCTTAGAAATGAAATATCTGCACCATGGAAAGTTGATTTATCTACTTTCCCAGTAGATTAATATCTACCTAAGAAGTGATTTTCATTTTTGAGTAAGATGCGACGTTTTTGGGAGATATTAGCATATTTTCCCATTAGATTATCTCTTAGAAAGCAAAATTTGTATCACAGAAAATGTGAAATATTAATACTTTCTGCTGGGAAAGTTGATTTATCTACTTTATCATAAGCAGGAAATTTGTATCATATGAAATATTAATACTTTTCTGGGAAAGTTGTCTACTTATCTTAGAAAACGGAAATTTGTATCATAGAAAATGGGAAATATCTACTTTCCGGGGAAGAGTTGGTTATCTCTACTTTCCCGAAAAAGTAGATATCTACTAAAGTAGACTTTCGACTTTTTGCAAGTAGATTATCGAATTTTGGGAGATATTAACATTTATTTTCAGAGCAGATTATCATAGAAACGGGAAGTAACTAACTTTCCCCGGAAAAAGATATTTCCATTTTCTATGATGAAGTAGATAACCAACTTTCCCCGAAAGTATCTTCACATTTTTCTTTCAAGATTTTTCTGGAAGCCAGCTAATGTTCAAACTTCCGTTTTCTTTCCCCAGAAATATTTCATTTGGAAATTAAAGTCGTTAATCTGCAAAGTCGAAATTTCCCAGAAGAAATTTGCTTTCCAGAAGTGTGTATTTCACATTTTCTATGATATCTTTGTCTTTGGAAAATATGTTAATATCTCCCCAAAGGTCGTTGATCTGCTTCCTGAAAGGTCGAAAATCTACTTTAAAGTAGATAATCCTTTTCGGGAAAGTAGATAACTTAACTTTCCCAGCGGAAGTAGATACCATTTTCACCATATGATACCATTTCCCGTTTTCTATGATAGTAGATAACCAACTTTCCCAGAAAAGTATAAATACATTTTCTGGTACTGAAGTTCCCCGTTTTTCTATGATATCTACTTTGGAAAATATGTTAATATCTCCCAAAAGTCATTGTCCCTTCCACAAAAATCAATCTACTTTCGAAAATTAGATAATCTACATTCAGGAAAGTAGATAACCAACTTTCCCGGAAAGTAGATATTTTCCATTTTCTACATGATACAAATTTCCGTTTTCTGTTAAGTGAATGTATATAACTTTCCCAGAAAGTATAAATATTTCACATTTTCTGTGATAAATTTCCGTTTTCTATGTAATCTGCTTTTGGAAAATATGTTAATATCTCCCAAAAGTCGTTAATCTACTTCCACAAAAGTCAATCTGCTTTCGAAAAGTAGATATCTGCTTTCGGAAAGTAGATAATAACTTTCGGAAGTAGATATTTCCCATTTTCTATGATACAATTTCCGTTTTTCTATGATAAGTGAATAATAACTTTCAGAAAAGTATAAATATTTCTACATTTTCTGTGATACAAATTTCCGTTTTCTATGATAATCTGCTTTGGAAAATATGTTAATATCTCCCAAAAAGTCTGTTAATCTCTTTCCACAAAAGTCGAAAATCTACTTTCCCAAAAGTAGATAATCTACTTTCAGAAGTAGATAACCAACTTTCGGAAGTAGATAATTCCCATTTTCTATGATACAAATTTTCCGTTTTTCTGTAAATAAATAGATAACAAACTTTAGAAATATTATTTCACATTTTCTGTGATACCAAATTTCCCCCGTTTTTCTATGTGATAAGTAGATAACAACTTTCCAAAGTGTAATATTTCATTTTCTTAATGATACAAAATTTCCCGTTTTCTATGCTAATCTACTTTGGAAAATATGTTATCTCAAAGATGTTAATCTGCTTCCTACAAAAATTAGAAATCTACTTTTCCCGAAAATTAGTTATCCGCTTTCGATAGATAACCAACTTTCGGAAAGTAGATATTTCCCATTTTTTCTATGATACAAATTTCCCGTTTTCTATGATAAGTAGATAACCAACTTTCCCCAGAAAGATATAATATTTCATTTTCTGTGATACAAAATTCCCGTTTTCTATGATAATCTACTTTGGAGAAGAAAATATGGCTAATATCTCCCAAGTCGTTAATCTACTTTTACAAAAGTCGTTAACATTAAAAAGTCGAAAATTTATTTCGAGTAGATAATCTTTTCGGAAAGTGATAAACTCCCAGAAAGTAGATATATTTCACATTTTCTGTGATACAAATTTCCCGTTTTCTATGATAATCTACTTTGGAAAACATGTTAAACTTAACCGGCATTACATCCGTCTTTAATATTTTGTGACAGGCAATCATAAGCATACTCTTCTGCAGTTGATTTAGGCCGATTGTTTATTGGTTGGTTTATGTTATGTTACTCCAAGGCACATCTCGATAAATTTGCATTAGTTTCTGGCAACGTAAAACATAAATGATAAACGCCGGCCCTCACCAGCCAGTGAATAAAGTTAAAGGAAGCGTTTATATTTTCGAATGTGACTTCAGTATAAATAACTGCTGTAAACTTTTATACTTTTGTATATTGTTTAGTTTACCAAATTTAACTTTTTCATGTTAATTTAAAGATTAACTTAGTGTTTCATTTCAGAATGCATTATCCCTTTGATTCAGATTGCATTATCCCATTTTACTATGATCTATATAATTACTCATTGCAGTAAATCAGGTGAAACAAGATTATGGAGTTGAATGTTTTCATAATCTCTAATGTGTAGTGGTAAGAATAAAACACGACCATCCTATTACGAATACATTTATTTGATATAATGAATCATCTGTGGTACACGTGGCACATGTAAATATAAAATAGAAATAGACGTCAGCAAATATGTACAGAGCGCCGTGGCGACACCGACAACATGACTGGTGCTTCAGGGGGGCACAGCGGGCACCAGTACTCCCACACTCACTCCCACGCTACTCTTGTCTACACTTTATATATGGCATACAACTGCCAATGTCTAAGCTTAACTCCACGAGTAAGATAATATAGTACTTAGTCTATTCTCATCCCCTCATACCTTTGTGGAGCAGTAAGCCACCTCAAGCTTTTTCATTCAATACATAATTTAGCTTGTGTTTAGTCATTCGTATTTCCCTGTCAGCATTGTGTTACCCAGTTTATACATTTTACGTTCAAGATACTTCTAGAAACACTTCATTATTTCTTCACCTTATAATAAGAAAATACTTACAATGCAAAATGTTTTGATAATTTAATGGAAGTGTAGGCTTATAGTTGGTTCTAGCTGGGTGGAAGTGTGGGAGTAAGGCAGCAGCTGCGTCCCCCCGCTGATATGCAGGACTGTCACACGCGGCGCGGCAGCCCACCACGCACTACACCGCATGAACTTTTCATCTTGGCATAACAGATATCACTTACGGAGTCGGAGCATTTCAATGACGGTTTTTCAGGTTAAATAATGAATTTTACAGTGCTGCGATGTAATGCGTGAAATTCGCCGCCAAGTTTGCGTTGTGAACCAGGGCTGCTGTTCATCCACACATACAATAGCCTCAGTGCGGGAGAATAGAACACACAGTTTTCACAATAGCCTCCACTTAGAAATCTCATTTGGATTACATGCACGACCCAGGCCTGACGACAGCAATAAGAGGTTCAAATTTATTTTGGTATTCTTAGAAAATTAATTGAAGCGATACGTTTTCAATATAAGAGTGAAGAAACTTCTTGGGGTTGCTGCTGTCGTCTTCAGTTCACAACACAAACTGCTGGAAACATTTAAGTCCGTATTCAGACGATGCCCTCACAGTGCATGTCCCTCCTGCCCGCACTCTATGCAATCATGGCAATTTTGGTCATTCATTCGAATAATGACACATTACTGTACAGCGACTTGGAACAATACTTTTGTGGCACACCCTGTATACCAAAATCAATTTATAGTCAATATGTCAATATACATTCACTATACAATTAACCTGGCAACAAGATCTCACAACAGTCCTGCTCAAAGCCACCACAGTCTTTATGAAAGGCCTGTATAAGGTTAGTGAGGTGAGTGCGGGCTTGAGGTGTATGCCTCGCCAGTGTGGTGGAACTTGTCCAGAATACACCACTTAATCCCTAGTTTACTGTCGAGAGATTGTTTGGCACAACATAAAAACCATATTATGCAGGAGTGATTTTTACACATACAGAAATATGCAAATATACATCAGTCTTAAAAATAAACTGTACAGTGACAAAAATAAAGATATGCGTCTCATGGACAAAGAGTTTAAGAGCTACACGATTTTCAAGGTACGAGACTCGGGTGTTGGGCGGCTCACTGAACCACAGTGAGGGAGTTAAGTGGTTTGGCTGAAGGATTGTTACTAAACATAACTGGATCTGGTTGTGTTTACAACTTGTCAGCCAATCTCACCAAATTGAAATACTCGCCCCTTTGATTTACAGAGCATCTTTAAACATGGGGTTGGATAAGACTTAAGATTCTTATTTTTTCCATGCCAAAGTGTTAAGTGTGGGCGAGTGACGATCAAGTTACATCACTGTGTCAGAAGGCCTAACACTCGAGTCTCTAAGTGCCCACTGCGGTGAGAGGTCAGCATCAAAACCAATATATACGCCTGTCAACACCTTAAGTAATTGCTAATTTGAACATCAATTACATAAAATTTTAAATAAAAACGCGTTACAACATACTGAATTCATCTACAGTGGAAAAATCCATACACACTATTTGATTGCATTTCATCTGAGGTATAAATTAAATTATCGTAGTGAAGTTCACAACATTATCAAATTCTATCTCTTGAGGAGGATAACATGTACAGTTTACACGTCATCATAGTGAGTGTGATTATCTGCGTGCACAACTTCTAACACCGTAACTTGGTTTTTTTATACAATGAAGCTTAACTCTGCAAACTTCTCAAATTAATACTTTTTCTTCATTGGCCACGCCAAGATATATTGACACCTTCCTTTTGTTATTATCTACCCAAGTATACTGACAAAGTGATGTTTATGTAAAGTGAGGACGTGGCATTAAGAAATACAAAAAAAAAAAAGTGAGTATTGGTGGGTATAATGTGCTCTACAGTATTTGTTACTACTTGGCGCGGGAGAGCTTATATGGTACTGTTCCAAGCCTTCCAATCTCTCTACAGGACCACACCTGTAGACGCTCCTCTCAAGTTCTGAAGCGTACTAGGTAGGCAGAACTATTTGTGATTTAGTCTGTGAAGATGTTGTCAATTGAGGCGTCTAGCGTAGGAATGACGAACCCACCAAATCATAGTTTTGAGTAAACGCATATCAAAGTTTTAGAACTGTAAAATCACACAGCGCCATGGAATATTGATAGAATTGCTTCAGTTATGTTCTATATTGATAATTTTTGTGTGTAGGTGTGCATAATACAATGACAAGCCTGTTTACTCAAAACTATGATTTGGCGAGTTCGTCATTCCTACGCTTGACGCCTCAATTGAGACTGTACAGAACATAAGTTAACCTTTGCTTCCGTAAACTAGGTTTTTTATTTATCTGGATAGTAGTAACGTTCGCAATGGCATCAAAAACTATAGTACACATATGCTTCAAATGTAAAGTTCAGAAACTGTACTGGAGTGATCCCCCTGGCTATGAGGTTGCAGAGCGTTGTCTTGTCGTACCCGTGGCTGTAGTGGACTTTTACATCAGAATTACAGACCTGCGGAACTAAGAAACTTATGATCATTTTCATTATCCTCGTTCGGATGTTTACAAGGTTTAATCTGTTGGTATAATATGAAAGGAGAAGCACGGTTAAAAAATATGAAAGTATCAGTTGACAGCGCTGTGCCATTCGGTTCACTGCCTCGCCTCTATGAACTGTATACTATAGCCTCGACCACTCGCCCATCTTGTAAGTTACTAATCTATCACCTCTGTATGAGAAGTTTCACACTCGGCAACATAAGTAATCTTATATGACAAGACAGTAGAGGCACCCAGTTACCGTCCTTGTATGTTTCGAAGTGCTGGCCGAACACTGCCCGCTTTCCCCCTCACTCAAGCCACATTATCAAGTCTTTCAGGTAGAAATTTTATATTCGTTTGTTAACCTATTAAAATGAGTATTTTAATATTTACTGTAATTCTGTAAGTATGTCTTGTTCGGTGTTTATTTGCTGGAATTATTATTTTGACAATTTCTAGACGAGTGAAACATCCTTAACCGAGTAACTCACCTCGCTAAATTCTTGAACGTTTCAATAAATAATGCTACCGACAATGTAGCTCCTGTAGCTAGTTCTACCTCCAGCCTAATTTTAGCCAAGTCTTCTATATATATTTCTCTTGAGGCTAAACGTGAGAGGTAGGACGAATATGACGCCAAGATTTAGTAGAAGAGTGAGTGAGGTAAATGTATCTGGAACAAGTAAGTAATGAGAGCTGGTAAATGTAACTTGTTTTAGAATGCCTGTTGCTTGATCCTCCTCCATCACCGTTCTTTATGACATACACCATTCATATCTTGTCCTTCTTTTACTAATTGATGTGTAGATAGTTAATAATACGCGTGTTATCAAAATATTATAATCGTGCTGGACCAGTGGGAGTTGTCTTGCCGTCTCCACCAAGAAAATATGTTAAGATGAACTGCTGTGTTAATATTCACTTTAGGATCAAACGCAGCCTACATTCTTCCGCTCGGTTATTGCATGTGCAAGTGACACGTTAATATGCAGTATGTCTGACATTCAAACGAATTATCAGCATTCTTCCATGTTGAGCTTTTTTGCGTTCTACTGATTATAAGTGAGAGCAAAGGTGTGCTGAAGAACTAGACAGATAATTCCTAAAATATCACCATAATATTATTTGCCTCTAATGCTCTAAGTTCAACATAATTAGTCATTACCTCTTATAGTTATATACCATTGCCAGACACACACACATAGTGACTGAAACATTAGGCTATAAATGAGGAATTTTAATTACACAAATGAGTTTGTACATGAAATAAATTTGAAGGTGGTAATGAGGCGACGCACCACACAGTGACCTTGACGTACCACCACCACTTACACCTCTCATTACCACTGCTCTATTACCCCTGTGCTCAGCTAGAGACAACGAGAAAATACTTTGATTCCACAACAGTTCGTTCAGATAACCAGTACGATGTAAAACAAGGTATTCGTCGACGTGGTAATAGCCTTCAGAAGGTGTAAGATGCACATGGTGAGAGTGTTGGTGCTGTGTGTGAGGTGAGGTGCGTTTCCTCAGTACATGGCAAAATCCTTGTTGTATCCTTAAAGCAGGAGAGGTGTGTGTTAAGTACCCACACAGACGGCAACATGTACAGCGTTACTTCAACATTCTACAATATTCCGCTGTCAGTCCTGGACATAGCCGCCAACATCCTGGCTGGAAAACGTTTTCCCATTAAAACATTAATTAAGTTATGGTGCTGGACCCATTTTGTTTTTTTTATTCACAAGCAGAAAATCACTAACGACGGATATTTTACCACATAAACTTTCTTTAGAGAAAATAAAAAGAAACTTATGACTCACTCTCCCCTCCCTTCCCTTGTCCAGGGCTGACTCAACAGAACATAAGAGTGGTAGTGTTGCCGCTCGAAACACCAGATGAGAAGGATCGAAACATTTATTTCCTAAGAAATCGGTGTGCAGATCCCGCCCAAAATCGTTCACAAACGGCCCTAGTCAAATTAGGAACTTGTGTGACGGGTGAGGTGGCTCCCGTCAAGCTGTCAACCAAACACCCCCGCGTCCGGGGCGCCGTTGTCAACACACGCCCCACCAAACACTCAGTGCCACCAACTGGGCGCTTATTGGCTGGGTAAAGTCCGTCCGTACACTGAGAACCAATGAATGACATGTTCCTCCATTTACTCCAGCTGTGGCGCGTCTTGGTGCTTTCAGTCCGGGAGTGTGTTGACTTAACTAAATCTAACTGGATATATACTTTTCAGTTAATATGAACACGATTCATTTAATGAACACACATAAATGTGATCGTTATGTACACTATTGAAAACGTACACTGTAAGAGAGCATAAAGCAGTATAATTATAATGGCTAAATTGCCATTAAGAATTCGAACAAATATTAGTCTGACATTGGTGAACATTGATACAACGCATCAACTCGTCGGCAGCCCAGACGCTGCTCTATTCTACGTGTTAAGCTAAGAGAGTGATATGCTGCAGAGCCCATCTTAGTGCTAATATTCAGACTCCAGGGCTCGGCTTTACAGCTTTTAAACATTACAATTGATTTTCCATAAAGTACGGACATTTTACAACCCCGAAGACTATGGCTACACTGAGATGCTTCCCGCGTCCGTCCCCACACTCGTGTCGTACCCGCTTAACTTTACCACTTCATCCCACTTTCTCTTGTCAAACCATTGTACTTATTCGCATTTTTACTTTTGCATAATAAACAATGGGCCTGACTGCACATTTTCCCATTTTCCTCTTCCTTAGGAAAAGGAAGTTTGAGCCACGAGCCTCGTCTGTGCCGGGAGTGGCAAAGGGCGGCCCGCTCAGTACCTCGACGGCCGACACTTCTTGGAGGCCTTCTTGAGGAAGCGACGCATGCGCGCCTGCTTGTTGTTGCGCCAGCGGATGACGATGGACTGGCGATTGATGACTAAACCTGGACGCTGCTTCCTCTCCTTCCTTCCCAGAAGCAGGTACTCGCTAGAAAAGATGTATTTATGAGTTGTACTCATAAGTTAAGCTTGAAATCATATTGGCCATTACCTAACTCATTAACCAAACTCAGTAACACGGTAAATTATTAAATATTTTTATACTTTTTAAATCTTGGGTAGTGCATTATGTGGAAATTGTGTGGGTGTACGGGGCAACTAGCAAACGTAGCAGTAGCAGCCAACCTTCCTCACTCCCAGTAATACTCACTTGCCCATCCTTATGTCTGGACACTTGCAGGTGAGGTCCTCGTTCCTCACCCACAGCTGGTCCCCGCCTCGCCGCACTCGGTCTGCCCGGGTCCTCTTGAACACGTTCGTCACTTGTATGTCGAACCTGGTGTACTCGCCGAGCACCTCTTTGTTGATCACTCGCGCCACCAGTGCTGCAGACGTCACACAAGCATTATTATCTTGCAACATCTGAGATTCACTCTAATTATCACACAAACACCACTCCATTCCACCCCACTCTGATAACACTCACCATAATCTCTGCGGCAGTATTTCTTGATTTTGAGGCGTCGCTTATTGACTCTGCATTTCCCACACGATGGCTGAGCGTAACCTGCAGGGGAGGAGAGGAATACAATGTTAGTACTGTACCTCGTGTGTCACATCAACTCTAGTACGTCAGTCATCTCACTGCATACTCGTACATGAATACACAGATAAAATTATACAGAGTTATTAATAGTAATATTCAAACAGCACCATGAATATCTTATCGAACTTAACATTTGTATAATAGATTAGTTATGACAGTAAACGAAGTCCTCTATGAAACAGCAAATTCAACCATATATGAACTAATTTCTATAAGTTGTAGGAGAAAAAATTAGCCCTTATTTGGATAACACGGCAGTTGCGTATTGTTTTAACATCACTACCCATCATACATTTATTATTATCTTATTTGTGTAATGGAAGTACATCAGTCGAGTTGTATTATTATTACTGTGAATGAGAGATAGGGCCGGGTTGTGCTAGTAGCAATAAAACAATGAACGTATGTTTTAACAGACTCCTTAATATTATTCGCACATATAGTAATTATATACTAGAGCCTCGCACCTTAATGTATAGGCACAAGCACGCTCTCTGATTTTAATTAATATTGTTTGAATTATGGATCGTAGTATGGAAAAACTTAAAACTGGGAATGTAAGCGACGTGTCTTGGGTGAGTTGAACAGAGGTGTGAGTAGTGATCTTTCTCTCCCTCCCGCCCTGGTTCCCTCCACCACTATCTCTACTGTATTGTTGGTAGAAATTTATTCTAGTCTGAGATAGAAACAAGTTGAGATTCGAGCAGCGTGCAGGAGTGTGTGGTCTAGCCCTGGCCAGGCACAAGCCCCTGGGTGTATCTCATGCTCTCTCCTTAAAAACATTCCGGAGTGGTAATACTGTGGAGTCATTTAGGATTAATGGCAGCAGCAGTGTCCGTGAAGAAGTGCCCACGGCCAGCGACGAGTAATGAGGCGCGGCAGGGCTGTGTTCTTGACAAGTGGCCAGGATAGTGACACGCGAGCCTCAGCCTCACCATCATACCGGTATACACAATACTCCGGGTTGGGGACCTGGCACACCTACAACTAATTAACCGTGCATGGGTTTAGTACATTTATATTGGGTGTGAGTGTATGTGATGAACAAACGTACACATGCGTGTAACCAAACGTGTACTGGAAACACCATAGAGGATACAACAGCGACCAAGAATGGTAGTTGTTGCCAAAGGTGTATCCTACAGATCTTACAGACGGCCACCAGCCTGCCTCAGGCTCCCACGTCTTGTGGACATTTATCTCCCACGCTCAGCCTTTCTTCCCGCTACCACTACTACTTGTCTGCCAGCCGTTAATACTCGCTCTTATGGAGCGACGAGACCCTTCTCCTGCGATGTCGTGGATACTTGAATAAGCTCACTGTATTAACTTTCCCTTATGACTTGTTTTGAAGGTGGTGGTGAGGCAGGGGACGTGGTCACATGAAAAGGGTGGGGGCTTAGAGGACAGCTAGACCATCATGTGAACGTGCCTGCAGGAGGTTGCCAGAGCTGACCCACACCTGACGCCCGCTACACTATGGGGGTATGGACGGGAAAGCGCCTGTATCCGGTTGTCCGTCTGACTACTTCCCTCCACCAATCGCACAACTGGAACTAATACCCAGCCAAACAGATTTGGAAGTCTTCTTCCTCATACCATAGAAGTGTCAATGGAGGCTTATATAAGCGTGTCATTACCAAGTGACGATGGACGTTGGTGCTGTTGATTGTTTTTGTGCTGGTGGAGGTGATGGTGGTGATGATGGTGAGTCACAAACACTCTTGCCTCCACAAAGACTTTCTGGTTCACTGAGGATTTTACAGTTGAGAGCAAAATTCCTTCGATACTTGACAATATCTACATGTAAGTCATATGTGAGTGGTTTATTACCGAGTGGACGCTACTTTTCTTTACAGATTCATTAGATTAATACAAAAAAATCATACAGAAAAGTATGAGTAAAGATGCCAAATATTACCACAAGTGATTAGTGAAATTTTTTTTTTAGTTGGGTGGACCTTTTTATTGAGTGTACATTCTTATTTAATCAGGTGTACTTTCTTCTTTAAGTGTGTACTTTCATATCAAATGAGGTGTATTTTCTTATTTAGTCAGGTGTACTTATTAGCTATTGTAGGTGTAACTTCTTACTTAATTAGGTGTACTTTGTGTTACTTAATCAGATGTACTCCTATTTAATCAGTTGTACATTCTTGTTAATAGGAGTACTTACTTTATTATCTAATCAGAATTACTTTACAAAAAAACACATTTTCTTTTTTATAATCTTATCTAAATTGATTTGGTATAGTTACTTATTAAATTTTGTTTGTGTTTATTACTATTATTATTATATTCAATACGTTTTCCATATTTTTGGGTATAAACTCCCCAACCCAAACACAATACAGTATCTGTCCACACTGAGTGAAACATTATGGGACCACGGATGATAGATATTGGGACATGCATTTACTTTGGTATATAGTTTAACATAAGCGTACCAACCTTCTAGGGGCATCAAGAGCATTTCGTAAGTCATCAGGCCCATCCTAGCATATACGTACTTTTTTTAGATACTGTACACAAGCTCTGGTTTACAAACACAAGTACCTAAGCACACACACACCCTTCTTTCCTGTTCCCCTCACTGGCCACGCCCACTTATTAATTAACTGCCAATCATATGGGCGAGACACCTGTAGGCCACACCCCTCCCCCCGTAATATTGATGGCGTCCATGTCTGTGTGTTTCTTGAATGTGTGTGTGTGTGTGTGTGTGTTATGGGAGTGTACATGTGTTTTCTGGTGTATGTATGTGTGAATTATACTGTGGAACATAATTCTAACGCTCATTTTTCCCCTCTCCGGACCTACAAGAGAACACACTTAAGCAGAGATGGCGGTTAATGACACCGAAATCGTACAAAGGTTCTGCCCTAAATTGTTGCCTTCTCATAAGTTCAGTTAAGGGGAAAATAAATGAGTTTGGGGGGAATTATGATACAAGAGCAAAGGAGGCTAGCCGATACCACCACCTACCCTCCTCTTCCTTCTTCTGCTGCTCCTCCTCCGACTCCTTATTTTCACTCTTCCAGACATTTTATTCACTTATTCTCATTATCTGTCTCATAACTCCTGCCTCCCAGCACACTTCACTCGAGGCAGGCGTGATGTTGGGAAGAATTACGGCGATTACCGGCATAATTTTTCTCCTTCATTTAATCTTATATAAAATGTTGTAACACAAACTTATGCGGCAGGCTTCTTTAAAACTTATTTTAAATTAATTAACAAGAGTAATTCTAAGTCACAGAGAAAAGGAAAAATAAATATTTTGTGGTCTAAACATCTTATAGCACCGTGCCTGCTATCATTTTCCCGCGCAAACCATAATTTTTTCCAAAATATGAACTTAAGGGAGCAGGTAAACGACGCGGGGTCATCATTGTCGTGTTCATAAATAAACCGACTAGTATCACTGAAGCAGTTGGAGGTCCTGCAGGGTGTAACTAAAGCGACCACGTCTGTTGTTCACTGCACGGGGTAACAGTCCCCTCATATTTTATATCGACGTGTGGTATAATTCATGTGTGTGTGTGCACGGTTAAATGCACACACAATATATATATATATATATATATATATATATATATATATATATATATATATATATATATATATATATATATATATATATATATATATATATATAGTGTATGTGTGTGCGTGTAGGTGTAGACGTGGGTGCAGACATAATATATTAGCAATACTTGAAATATTTCCGCCGGTCTCAAAAAAAAAACACCATCTTGACGTTGCCTATCTACCCCCCTCACAATACACCCTCATAATCCATACCCCCCATCAACCACGCCGTCCACTGTCATCCTCTTAGCCAATGGTAGGACTCGGTTACTTCATTATTCCGCCCACACTAACCTGCAGAGATAATGCTCCACCCACCACAATCCTCATGGCCAATGACAGGTCAAGGCTGCGTTATTACCTCGCCCATATAAACTTTACCGACCAATTGTGGGTTTCTACGGTACGTCACCGTCATATTAACCCTAATTGTATTATCTACTTGCAGGGGGAGGAGAAGAAGGAAAGAAAGGGGGCAAGGTGAAGTAGAAGAAAAGGGAAGAATGAAAAAGTAAGAAGGAAGGAAAGAAAAGGAGAAATAGGAAGGTGTAAGGAAGAGGTGGAGTATGTTGTATCAGTTATCCGCCTCGCTGTTGTGTCTCCCTCCCTCACACAACATAGGGATCACGATGACACCCTCCTCACGGTGGAGATGGTGGCAAAGAAACTGATAAGTGATGACGGTGGTTATGGTGAAGGGTAGTGCTGGTGATGTGATGAGGAAGCTAATAAGAGATGATGATGGTGGTTGTGAAGGGTGGTGCTGGTGATGTGATGAGGAAGCTATTAAGAGATGATGATGGTGGTTGTGAAGGGTGGTGCTGGTGATGTGATGAGGAAGCTAATAAGAGATGATGATGGTGGTTGTGAAGGGTGGTGCTGGTGATGTGATGAGGAAGCTAATAAGAGATGATGATGGTGGTTGTGAAGGGTGGTGCTGGTGATGTGGTGAGGAAGCTATTAAGAGATGATGATGGTGGTTGTGAAGGGTGGTGCTGGTGATGTGATGAGGAAGCTAATAAGAGATGATGATGGTGGTTGTGAAGGGTGGTGCTGGTGATGTGGTGAGGAAGCTAATAAGAGATGATGATGGTGGTTGTGAAGGGTGGTGCTGGTGATGATGATGATGTGATGAGGAAGCTATTAAGAGATGATGATGGTGGTTGTGAAGGGTGGTGCTGGTGATGTGATGAGGAAGCTATTAGGAATGATGATGGTGGTTGTGAAGGGTGGTGCTGGTGATGTGGTGAGGAAGCTATTAAGAGATGATGATGGTGGTTGTGAAGGGTGGTGCTGGTGATGTGATGAGGAAGCTAATAAGAGATGATGATGGTGGTTGTGAAGGGTGGTGCTGGTGATACAGGTAGCGA